TTCCTACAGTGTCTGCTGGGGGAAGACAACCTCTTGGCAGCAGCTGCCTGTAGCTTATCCATCCTGGCTGGAGTCCTTTGTCCTGCTTCTTGGCCTTGCGGTAGACAAGCATCCCTAAGAGATGGAGCCTGCCTCCTCGGGGCCAGCAGTTCCCCTCCTGTCCTGTAATGACCCTCCCGTGTGGGATGGGAGTGTCTTATCTGCAGCCATTGTTTTGTCTTCCTGTCTCTTTCCCAATGGCTTTGTTGATTTAACACATTATATAGATAGCAGTGCACAGTACCATTAATGGTGCTGGCTCGACATGCTGGACCAGCTGCACTCCTCCGGGGCTTGGCTCAGTCTCTTGGCCTTGGCCCTGCTCTGGGAAACCTGGATGGTGCCTCACTGCAGTGGCTCAGGTGGTCTCTTGCTGTTTGCCCAGCCCTTGGTGCAACAGGAGCCCAGATCTCCTTTAACTGGCCTGGGCTGCCCTGGTAATGCTTCTCTCCTTCCCCTGCTTTTAAAATCCATCCTTTGTCCTTGTGTGTGTCACCCCTGGGGCAAAAGCATCTTCTCTCACAAGGCTTGTGAACTTGCATCTTCCCCTCTCACTGATAAATGAAGCAAACTCCAAGATGGAACCTAGTGATTTTAGGTTTATGGATGTACCCCTGAGGTTCCCCAGGGAGTGTCCATTTCCCATTCTGTGTGAGGGTCAGAGCTGGGGTAGAGGAAGAAGAATGCTCCTTCTAGATCCAGCTTCTGATTCCCTCTCATTTCTGCCTCTTTGGATATCAGAGGAAGAGAGTCATCACTGATCCCATGCCAAATATTTCAGACTTAGTATGACACAGTGTTTGTTGGCTGTTTAGACCCACAGTTATACATGTTTCTCATGGTGCTCCTCTGAGCACATCGGCCTGGCAACAACTCTGAGCCAACAGAGCTGGCTCCTGCCTACAGCACCCCCTTCCTGAACCCATGGGGTCGTGCATTGCCTTGGGAATACCCTCTCCTGACTCATGCCAGGACAGAGGAAGGTTTGCAGGGGAGCACTGGACTCCTTGCCCTGCGCCCTGAGCTGATTGCAGAGGTGGGGCGCCCTGCCCTCCTGGCAGCACACTGTGGTGCTTGCAAAGAGCTGCTCTGGGGGGAAGGAGACAATGTGCTGCTTTTGGCTGCTGGGCCTGCTAGCTCCTCAGCATTATCTCTTGTTTGCCTCTCTTGGTCTCTGTATTTGGCTGCCTGAAAGTGAGTGCTGGCAGAGTTAGGTGGAGTGGGTTAAGTGGGAGTTCAGGGTGAAGGAGAGGTGGGCAAACCCTTCCCTGCAGGCCAACGTGTAAACCACACCATCTGTGCAGCTGAGGTTCCAGTGAGGCGCCCTTTCCCCTCAACTGGGGCTCCTGGGGGGCAGCTGGGCAAGTGCTGATGCCTGCCAGGCTGGTTTCCAAGTGGTGGAGGCATGTGCCTGGTGAGGAGAGGCTGCTGGGATGTCAGGACAGGGGGAGAGCTGTGGGATAGTGGCAGAGGGAAAGATGCATCATTTAAAAGGAAAACCAGAGACCATCCCCCATCTATTCCATTGCCTGGGGGCTGCTGGTGGAGGCACAGGGTCTGAGATGGGGCTCTTAGTCCTTGCTGGAGATGTGAGGCGGTCCCTATGAGAACATCTTCTGGGGTGGGATCCCACCACTGCCATGCAGGCACGGGCCTCTGGGAACCATGCTGGCAGACGGTGGCACTTGTAAAGGACTGGCCCTTGCAGCGACTGTGCTTTGGTGCTGACAGTGGCTGACATCCCAGCAGTATTGGAGAGAAATGCTTGAGCTGTATTTAGCAGGACTAGGGTATTTTTGTTTCTTTTTTTCCTTTCCCTTGACCATGTGTGAGCCTTCAACTGATTTTGCAACTAGTGCTACATAGCAGAAGGATTGTGTAATTAACGGGAACTGGTGCAGCCCTATCTCTCTGGGACTCCAGCCCTCCTTCCCACAGGGATGGAGGCAGACCCACTCTCTCCCACAGCATTTCACCTTCTCTGCCTTCCCTGCTGCTGGGAAGAGCTTTGGGGAACTCCAGTGCCACACAACGTGCTCCTGGCTGCTCCAGTTCCTCTGCTGGGCTGGTGTTTTGCTGCAGAGATTTATGGTGGTTCTCCCAGCTTAAACTGAGCCAAAAAATAACAGATGAATTAATTCTTTTTTTTTTTCTTCCTGTGTCCACTGTACTCCTACCCACTTCCTGGTGGGAGCAGGGGGTTTGTTTCTGTGAAAGGATCCAAGCAGCTGTGGGACTGATGCTGACCTTGCTGCTGCTGGACACATGGTGTGACTCACAGTGATGCACGTGGCAGTGAGGGGCAGGAGAGGAGAGGCGGCCCAAGGTGCCTCTGCACTCCAAGGCAGTGGTGTGGGACCTCTCCTGCACTGCTCTCTCTCTGTGGGCATGTCCTCTGTGCTTTTGAGTTTAAATGCTCCCTGCCCCACAGAGATGGGGATAGTGACTCTGTCCGTTCCCCTTCTTGGAAGCTGTGGGTCCTGCCCTGCTCTTCCCGTGGTCCTGCAGGACCCCGCTGATGCTGGAGGAAGGATGAAAGTTTTCTTGTCATATTTAATATATTTCTCAAAGATGAAAGCCAGGAGAAGGGCAGGAAGCCTTCTCCAGAGGTCGGGTGGCCCAGCCATCATGAAATATTTTTCCAGGCAGAGTTCAGTACCAGGAATTTCTCTCCCTGGGAGCAACACAGAGCTCAGCCTGCTGCCTGATGCAGTTAAGGACCCCCCTTCCTCACTGCCTCACTTCTGGTGTTTCCAAATTATCTTAGCACCTTAGCCCAGTAAGAGCTAATGTCGTGACCTCTCCCTAGTCCTGCATTTCCTCATCCAAGCATGGTTTCTGTCAGCCCTGTTCATTGAAAGCCCCATCTCTGAGAGGCAGCCAGTCCTGGAACTGGGGTGGAAGTCTGCCAAGTGCTTTCAAGACAAGGAGCTCATGCTGGCATCCTCCGGGAGTCAAACCAGCGTGGAGCCAAGGCTCTCTTGCTGGGGGAAATAACAGCTTTTCCTCTGCCCATTTACACAGAGACCTTCACCTCCCATAGGTAGCAGTGTGCTGGTACCTCCAGGAGGCTCCTGCCTTGTCTGGGTGACAGTGGCTGCCTTCCTCCTTGCCCCTCCTCGGCTCCCTGAGGATCGCCTGGCATCTCTGCCTGAATGAGGAATGCTTGCAGTGATTTCATTCAAGCCCCAGTTGCTGCTGAGCTACATCTCTGCCTGCCAGGGCTCCTTCAAGTTCCTCCTTGCCTGGCTCGGACCATGGGAGTCACTGGCAGGTTTGGGCTGATTCTCTCCAAAACGAAAACCCTGTAGGTGCACACTTCATTTCAACTCTGGCCAATTGTGGTGAAGTCAATAGGAATGCTCACATGCTTAAATCTAATTACTCCTGCAAGCACTTGCAGGGCTGGGACAAGCTTTTTTTTTGGCAAGAGAACTTTTGTGGTGGATCTCTTGCATCTTCTCACTGAATTTAGAAAGAAAAATATGCAGTGTGATATCATCTGAGCAGCCCACAGAGTGAGGACAGCATCAATGTCTGTGCTTTGTGGATTTTGTTGTTCATAATCACTTAGGTGATGCTTACTAAATGCCTGCAGGGGAAAAAAACCAAGCTGTTTTGAAATGAAGAGACAGTGGAAGGGAGGGCAGGTACTTCCTTTTTTATTGAGATTTCTTGGTGTATTTCATGGGCAACTTCCCCATTTCAGCTTACCAGGTGTCAAGAAACATTTCTGCAGGAGAGATTGAAAGGAAAGGTATAAATGAGAAGAGAGGGACTGAAAGCAGAAGGCAGGTGAGGGTCTCAGCAGAGTGGTTCCATCATAACTGCTCCCATTTTGCAGACAGCCAGAGGAATATTCCCACTTTCCTTGGGGAACATGGGCAGGCCATGCCATGAGCACCATGATGTGCAAGTATAAGGCAGGGCTGGAACTTGCTAGATGCAAGTCCAGGCACCTGTTGGTTTGGCATAATAGAGGTTCTCTTTTCACCCAAAGAGCACACGTGGACCAGGAGATGCAGTTCAGGGAGAAAGATTTTTCTGCTTTTTCCTCCCAAGCCTACTCCCATGAGGAGGCAGCACGAAGAACAACCATCGGAATGTGTGGCAGATGGGCATTTTGTTTTAGCAGGTGACAATCTTAGTCCTTCATCAGACACTCTTGCACATCTTTTATCTCCTGAAATATCAGTGTTTCATGGAGGCAAGCCAGATTTAGCCGAATTTTTTGCCTCTTGCCTGATTTGATGGCTGGGAAAACTGAGGCACGGGTGACTTGGTGACTCGGTGAGGGGCAATGTTTGAGAGCAGAAGCAGGGTGCAGGCTGCTTGCCTGCCTGAGGCTGCAGCTCTGTGGCTTCCCCCAAATTCTTGCTGCTATCTCCATCCCAGAAGAACGTTTTCCTCTGGTGTGGCATTTCCCAGTGCTAAGCCCCTGTCGTGTTAATGTGACTCTTGGCTCACCTTCGGACGTGCAGGGACTGTGTGGAGGCGAGACCTTCACGCAAGGCTTCTGCTGTGAATGGAGCGGGAGTGATTTACAGCCCGTCGAGAGCAAGTCGCCAACCTGGATGTCTGCTCCCTAGGTGCTTTGTGTAATCAGAAAAACAGTGGTAAAAGTGCGAAAAAACAGAAGGGAAAAAAAAAGAAAAAGAAAGGGCGGGGGAGAGGAGGGGGCTGGAGAAGATGAAGGAGGGAGAGCGGAGTTAGAGGCAGGAGAGAATCCCCCTGGCAGGGGAGCGGGGAGCGCCGGGCTTTGTGCTGCGCCCCCAGAGATTCTCCCGTGGCGCTTCCACGAGGCGGAGGGGGAGGAGGAGGTAGAGAGGTGGAGGAGGCAAGCCGGGGGTGTGGAGCAGGGGGGGGCGAGCAGAAACAAAAGGAAACCAGCTGCAGAACTTCCTGGAGGCGGCGAGGGGCCGCGGAGCGCGCAGTGCCGGCTCCTGCTGCGCGGGGCGGGGAGGGGAGGGGGCGGCAGCGGGACCCTGCCCGCCGTGCGCCGCCACCATGACCAGCGCGATCCTCCGGCGCAACTCCAGCAAGCAGGGCCTGCAGAACCTCATCAGGTGAGCGCACACCTGCCCGGGCACCCGCCCCGGCTCCCGCGGGATGTGCCCAGGGGCGCGGTGGGGAAAGGGAGCGTCTTCCACGCCGACCATCCTCGGGTCCCTCTAAATCGGCGGGATTTCCTCCTTACCCTGGTTCTCCAGCAGACCCCATGCATTGGAAGGAAGGATAATAGATAACCCTCCCTCTCCTCCCCTAAAGCTGTATGAGAAAAGCAGATTTGAACTTACTGATGGCTTTTCCAGGAGCTCCCGACTGAAATAACTGAGCACAACTGCACTGTGACACTCACCTGAGCCGCTGCTTCCCCTCTCCCTGCGAGGCATGTCTCAGTACGTGGCTTTTTGTGTCTCCCGAGTGCCGAACGCTTCTGCCTAGAAAAAGGGTTTTCCTTTTTTCCCCGCAGGAACTGTACGCTGTGCACGCTGTGATGCTCGTTTTTAATTCAGACATCAGTACGGGGCTGGATCCTCCCAGGGCTGCGAGCTGACACCGCTCTTTTTTTCGATTTAATTGATCACAATAGTGCTTTGAACCTTTCTCTCGGAGTATAATTGCCAGGGCAGGGAGGTGGATGGCTCACTTGGGCTTTTCCCGTTTGTCAGCGGCGCTGAGCCCGGCAGGACGGCTACATTGTCTGCTGGCTTTGAGATTCCCTGCCATGCGGTCACTGTGCCCTTCCCCGGGGGCTGGAATCGCTGCTTCCCTCCGTGGGTCTCTGGGATCCACCTCTGGATGATGGTGGTGTGCCGCTCTGATGGCCCTGACTGGGCTGAAGAGAGGCACTTCCCACCTTTTCACGTTTAGCTGGGCAGATGGATGGGTGAGAGGTGGGATCAGGCAGTGCTGGACTCACATTCTGCATCTCGGGTGCCTCTTGGCTCCCTTGTGCTCACTGTGAGTGCTGGTCTCCAGCTGGGAGGTGGAGGATGTCATGGTGGGGTGTATTTCACCTGGCATTTTCCAGTCAGTTTGGGATCTCCTCGACTGGCAATGCAGCCTCTAAACCTCATCTCCCATTAAGTTTCTTGCCTTGGAAGGGAAATGGGCACCTACAGCCCATCTAGTCCTGGCCACTGCTGCCCTTCTGGACCCAGGGAAGTTGGCTGGGAAGCTCCCCCTGGTTGCACAGGCCCCTGGGGTGGAAAATGGGCAGGAGGAGCTGACTCCTCTCGGTTCATCCTTTGTTTGGCCTGTTGGACCCATTCCCTGGTCTCAGCCCAGGGGATGGGATCTGAGTTACACATCCGTGTTCCAGAGCACGGCTTTGTCAGCAGCTTGCGAGGGGTAGGGAAACCTCTGGGGTGTGCAAAGGCAGGGATGAGCTCAGATTTGGGGCCAGCTGGTACTGAGGAGGGCCAGGGAAATGAACTGGGGTGGGGATCGCCTGCTTACAGCTGGGTAGCAATTTATTGTGCAGGGTGACAGATGGGGGGAGCAAGGGGAAGCACATGTGCTTCATTCAGAGAAAAGGGGTGTCCAAAGGACTGTTCTCAGCACAGCCTAAACCAGGGGTGTTTTCCATCCTGAGTGACATTTCCAAGTTCCTCCTGCTTTGGATAAGGGACTTTTGGTGTCCCAGAGACTCACAGGGACTTTTTTACAAGGTGACATGTTTCCTGAGTAGGGTTATTACACTTAATTGATTGAGGTTTAGCTTTGTGGCTGTGTTTCCCAGTCCTGCTTACAGATGAGGCGTGGAGTGGGTTGTGAGGGATTTCCATGGTTTGCACACAAAAAGCCTCACTTATGCTCACAGGATTCAGCAGTGGAGCAGACAGGGTCTGCTCCATACACACCATAGCTCATTTTGCAGCTGTATTTTTCTCCTGGAGCAGTTTCTCCTGGAGTTCCAGAGATCAGCTGTGGGGCTGGCTCTGCAAGTCCTGCCAGCTTGGCTGCAGGAAGGAAGGAGCTCCTTTAGTGAATGGCTGGAGGCTCCTGCCTTGAGGATATGTTGCTGTCAAGATTGCTGTGCTCTGCTTTTTTCTGTCCCAAGGTGACTGCAGCAGAGTGGTTACACTGTGTAGTGCTGGGCTCCTCTGGGGTGTCCGGGTGCTTTGGAGAGCTGGAGCACACAGTGGAACCAGCAGCTCAGAGCCATAACCACGAGCCCTGGGGAGATCACTGTGGTGTCAGGATTTACCTGGCTGCTCCTGCTGCAGGGCAACAGCAGGGATAACCAGGGAATTACCTTCTCTGAGCATTGCTCAGCTACAGGAGCTGCTGGCCAGCTACCCAACAGCTGGGTTAAGGGTTCCTGAGCTGAAACCAGTGTAAGTCTTGTGGATTTGGGGATGAAGAGCTGAGTCCCAATGCTTTAAGCATCCTTCCTTGTGCTTGATACAAAACCCCAGCATTTCAGACAAAGGCCCCATGGGTGGAGCATCACCTGCATATCGGTCCCAGGAGTCAGATTTGCAATAAATGGCTTTTCCACTGACTGCTGACAGGCTTAATGCACGTGGTGCTCTGGCGTGGTTTGGTGTGCTTGGGATCCCTAGGGCACCTTGGAGACACCTGGAGGCTGAAGCACTGAGCCAGTGCTCAAGGAAACATCTTTCACCTTGCCCAGCCAGGAGGTGGGCTGGAAAAGTTAGCCCTCCTTCTTCCCCAGTGGCTTTGCAGAAGGTGCAGGCAGGGAAGTTCCGTTGAACATCTGAAAAGCTGGAGGCTGAAAAGGGCCCAGGGTGAGGCCTTGCAACTGCAGAGCACGAGTGGCTCAGTAATTGCCTGGGAAAGGTATGAGAAGAATGGGCAATTGCAGGGCTATCTACCTTCTCTGCTTTGGCCTGTGTGCCCAGGCACTCCCCTTGTCCAGCATAGTTTCTCTATCAGGACATCACTGGGGAAATATTTCTCCCTTTGTAGCACGCTTACAGCGATGATCCCTCACACGCCCACAAGGTTTTGTGTTTTTTTAAAGTCCTCTCCAAACATGAGCCACTTTATCTTGTTATCACGATCTCTTTCTCCTTATCCTTTTAATGAATTCCTATAAATAAGATAGGGATCCAGCACCTGTCATGTCGATTCATTCAGCTCATTATCTGCTCCTGCTGGAATTTAGTCTCCCTCTATTTATCGAGCCTGAAGTGTTTCACAAAAGAATATGGCTGTTTAATTAACCTACAAGTCATTCTCTCTGTGAAGCAGCTGTGCTGCTCCTTGGAACTGGATTATTGGGCCTTGTGGTTGACACTGCTCCCACTGGGTGCTGTGGTGGCTTGCTGCAGTGGTGTCCCCATCTCTGGGCTCTGGGTGCCTGGCTGGGATGTGCTGCCCTGGGATGGGGTGTGTGGGCATATGGATGTGAGTTGGGAGCACTGCTGCTCTTGTCTCTTTAATCTTTGAACCTTTCTCTCAGAGTATAATTGCCAGGGCAGGGAGGTGGCAGCATGTGGCTGAATCTGGGGTGCCAGTAGGAAGCGAGCTGTGATTTGTTCTTGGGGAAAAGGGACAGTGTTCTTACATGCTACAACACCCCTTTGCTTCCCAGCACAACCTGGTTCAGAGCAGGGGCTCCAGGGCATGGCTGCTCCAACTCTCTATAATAACCAATGTCTCTAATTGTATGTCTTTGCAATGCCATGGAGCTTGAAGTACAAATAATCCTGTGGGAAAAGGGGGCTGAATCTTGAGGATGAAAAAGCTCAGGGGAAGAAAACAAGTCTGAAAATGTGATCATGGGATAGAGCTAATTATTTACTCTGTAGGATGGGATTTTTGCTTTGTTATCTTCTGTGGAGTCATTAACATGGGAAGCCAGAATGTGAGATCTGAAATGAATCTTGCACAGTGCTGTGTTTTGGCCTGCTGTATGTGATGAGATGCTTGCCACCTCCAGCACTCATGTCCTGACACCCATGAGCTGCTGCAGGGCCCTTTCTTACTCCTTACAACACATTACTGCATTTCCAAGCAATGCTCTTGGTGATGCCTGGAGTTCCTCAGCACTATGGTAGCTTTAAAATTCCCTGAACTTGGATTTTGGTGCGTGTCATGAGTGTGATATTTAGTTTGATCAGGATATGGGGGCTCTGCCCAGCTCTGCAGGATGCTTTCCTCTCTGCCTGCATTCGACGTTTCCCAAAGCTTGCCAGGATGTGTCTCAGCAGGGAAGATGCTACTCCAGTATTTTTGTCTTGACCTCCTGAGTGCTGAGCTGGGAACAAGGAGCTGGAAGCACATGGGAGGGCTGGATGGAGCTTTGAAGGGGAAGAACATTTATGTGGGGTGGGGGAGTGTGTGGTCGATGCCAGGACATGGTCTGGGCACAGTTTGTTGCCTGGGAGATAGCTCCTGCCTCCAGGGGCTACTGCAGCACCGCTTTGCTTCAACTCCCTGGCTCCCAGAGAGGTGTAGGGAACAAGGAATTCTTGCTGTGGAGAAGTGGGGCTGCTCTTTAGGGGAAGATGAGGAAACTGAAACATGTAGGAAAGAGCCATTAGAGAAATTGTGTGGGAAGAGGAGGGAGGGATACCTGCATGGGGACACCAGGGGACACAGGGCCTTCACCAGTGTGATTCATGCTTTGCTGTGCTGCCTCAGTGTGTCATGAGGAGCCTGTGGTGCTTCCCTTCTTGAGTCTTCCCTATTTTGGTGTTTTTATTGGTGGCATTCATTTTTTTATCCCTCTGTGCCACATTGGCATGGCCTGGGGAGAACAGATGGGCACCTTGGTGGACCCCACAAGCGGAGGGCAGATGGAAAGGGAGACATGAGCAGAGGCTGCTGGCAGGGAGGAGCATCCAGGAGAGCCCTTTGGGCCTGACTGATGGCGTGCCTGGGGGATTTCCACATCCCAGGGTGCCTTCTGTGGTGCCAGCTGCTCGCAGGGTGATGCCACCATATTCTGCATCCAGGAGGAGCGTGGGGGTTTGCAGCCCAGCTGAGCTGTGGGGCAGGGTGAGGGTAAGGGCTAAGACAGTGTGTGGTGGGTTGGTCCCTCCCTGGGTGCCTTGTGGGGTGCCCACCCTCAGCTTTCACCCCAAGGATA